GTGGCTGGCGCCTTAGCCGGTTGAGCTATAGGCGCCGAGCCACCACTGCACTTTTTATCATGGGTTTATTTGTTTATGATTCATCTTTTCCCCAGTGAAGTAAGGCTATGAGGGGTAGAGCCTTTCTTCAAGCCTGATTCTGTAGCACTCCGGAAAATAACTGGCACGCAGTAGATAGTTAACAAATATTTGTGGAATGAATGTATTACTTAATGGCCATACGTTAAAAATGAGAACAGTAGCTGAGAGTGTCTGTGCCAGTCGAGGCATTCACAGATGTGACAAGTGTGGGCCTTGGGGACAGAAAACTCAGAGGAAGGGCTCAGCTCTGTTTCTCACTTGCTGTGTGACTCCATCCTTAGCCACCTCATCTGTAAACAAGAACAATAAAATTCTGACCACATTCTACAGTTGGGGGATTATGTAAGTTAATTCTTATAAGGATAGACCAGTGTCTTACCCAGCCCTATATGAATATAGTGTATTTTTAAAAAAAGATGGTGGCCTGGCTTGGGTGCTACTTAATATTCTAGTTGCACAACATGGGCAACGAACAAGAGTATGAAGGAGCTCAGGAAATTTTACCCCCAAATATGACTACTTAACATAAAGAATATTTTGAATTAAAGGCCATTCACAATCAGAGAGCATTGGAGGGGCTGTCCCTGTATCTGCATAAACCAGAATGACGGGATCAGGGCATCAAAGGGGGCAACTGACTTCTTTCCTCCCTGAAGGCTAGCAGACCTCGCCCAAATCATTTAAGACACAAGTTAAGTTACAAGTCAACCTATTTCTCCTCCCTAGCAAACCACTTTCTGCACCCATATTCCACCTTCTCCCCTTCCCTTCAAAAAGTATAAAAGTATCTGACCATCTCTAGACACTGGGTAATCATTCTTGTGGTTCCCCCCGTGCACATGGTGTTTGGAAATAACCCTTTCTCTTACTACTCTGCTGTAATTGTGAGTTCATCTTACAGCAAACCAACCAAGGGGAAGGGGTGAGTTTCACCATAATCCCTACAAGTATTAACAATTCTCAGTAGTACTTGTGATGCAGGGTTCCCCCGCTCAGACTGGACAGGAACCCCCATTTTCTGGGCAAACAGGCCTTTCCAGCCCACATTCTCTGGACTCAAGCAAGATCAGAGAAAAGCAGCCTGATCTCATCTGGGTGGTCTCCCCTGCCCCCCAATGAAAACACAGACCCTGTTGCCTCACTCGGGACATCCACTGTAAAGACCAAGTTCATTTGCTAACGTATCAACATCAGCCCTGCTGATCAACATGGGCTCCTTGCCAAGCGGGATATATATTCCTGAGACCCCCCTGCTCAGTATAAGAACCCCCAGTCAAAAGGCCCATGGTGGGGGCTTCCCAGTTGGGTCCCCCCTCTGCTGCTGGAGCTTCTGTTGACCTTTCCTGCTCTCTCTCTTTCTCTGTCAATAAACTCTATACTGCCCCTCACCGGCATGGTCCATGGGTTTATAATTGAATTTCCAAGATCAAGGACTCTGCATAGAGAGAAATTCTGGCAACACTTGTTTCTGGACTAAGGACCAAATGGCACACTGCCGGCAGCTGTGACATCAGCTGAACGACAGAAACCCCAAGTGCAGCAACAGTTCTACAGACAGAAAGCACCCAGCAACATTGGTGTCTAACCTCTTTCTCAAAACAGTCTCAATTAAACCCATTTCCAAACCCTAGGATTTTGCTCCCAGCCTCAGTTCCTCACTTATGTTCACTTTCTGCTGCTAAGTCCCAGAGGGGCTGGGTAAGAAGCAGCCAGCACAGCCCCCGCCCGTCCCTCCTCTCCACAGTCTACTCTGAAACCCTCACTCTTTCCACGCTTGCAATGCATTTGTGTTCGTTTTCCTCGGACTCTGTTTATAAAAAAAAGAAAGAAAGAAAGAAAGAAAAAAAAAACCCAGGAGAATAGGTAGCAAAAAAAAAAAAAAAAAAGAAGAACAATCAAAGAAAAGGAAAAAAAGATCTTAGAACTGTTTGAGAACATAAAGGGCAGACTGGATTGTAACTGTAACTGAAACAATCATAAAATACTAAGTATTGAGAAACCTCAGGTCAACTTTATGATGAGAGCCATACATGAGGAAGGATTTCTTCTGAAACAAATAAATGAAAGAAAAAGAAAGAAAAGGAAAAAAGAGAGAGAAGAAGGAAAAGAAAGGCACAGGTGTAGAGGGCCACCTGTGTCCCCAGCTCCTCCGTGGCTGACCAAGATTGTCCCTGGGGCACCCTCTCCAGGGAGGATTGGGAAACCTCTCCTCACCCCCTGGTTCTGTGGCTCAGGCCACAGGAGCAATCTGTACCACAATGAAATGACTGCTGAGATTTAAAAGCCCAACTCAAACTCTACCACTTCCCTGCATAGTAAATTACACAGTCTGTGGCTTGTAGGCTCCTCTCCTCCCTCAGGCAAACCACAGGACCTATAAACATTGTTCTTCAGAGCCCTGCCATCCTAAAGGAGGTTTGGGGGTCTTCCCTGTCCGCACCAGGCCTGCAGTTTGCATTCTCCCCCATTACCTCCCTGGGGCCCCCCACACGCGTTTCCTACAGACCTGGCCATGCTTCCGTGCCTTTCCCAGCTCGGTGGGGACAGCCTCTTCCTGGTCAGTGGCTCTGCCCTCGCTCACCTCACCCCGTGTTCTCCTTTCCCAGCGACATTCCTTCTCTCAACCAGCCAGGCTCTAGCGTTCAAGGTTGTGTGACTACTGACAAAAAGGGTGGGGACTAATGTATTTACACCCAGCCCCTGCACACCCACAAGTACAATCATTCTTCCTTGTATGATGTGTCAGATCAAATTCAGTTCATCTCTCTTTTCATATGTCTCTCCCACATCCACATCTTGCTTTTCAGCAAGGAGTTCTCCCAAGTCCAGGTGCAAAAAGGAAACCCTCCTCGTTTGGCTTGTGACATACGCTCTTTACACTGAGACTGAGTTCAAAACCAGCAGTCTGCCTGATTTCTCCCTCTCTTCCCTTTTGACAACAGCAATCTTAGAGGTGAGAGCTCAGTCGCTGGGTGCTGTATTACTGAGCAGAACAGAAAATTGCTTTCTCTTTGGAGCATAAAAAAGCAACGGAAGCAAAGGGCAAATCCTTTGCAACCACAGGTTGGTTTATACAAGGGAAAAACAAACACCGTTAGGATAGATGCTGGTGTGGACCACTCCTGGAGCCCTTAGTCAGGGGTTCGACCCTGTCCTGGGTTTTGTGTTGAAGTTAAATTGTCTTGTATTTGAAGGTGGCCATGCTGGTCAGCTGGTCAGCTGCAGTGAAACCTCCTTGCTAGAAAATCCTGTTTCACAAAGAGGGTAGCTTGCTCACGCCTGTAACCCTAGCACTCTGGGAGGCCAAAGTGGGCAGATCAGTTGAGCTCAGGAGTTCAAGACCAGCCTTAGCAAGAGCAAGACCCTGTCTCTAAAAATAACCAGGCATTGTGGTGGGTGCCTATAGTCCCAGCTACTTTAGGAGGCTGAGACAAGAAGATAGCTTGAGCCCCAAAGTTTGAAGTTGCTGTGAGCTATGATGCTATGCACTCTGCTGAGGGTGACCAAGTGAGACTCAGTCTCAAAAAACAAACAGAACCCCCCCGCCAAAAAAAAGAGGGTAGCTTTGGAGGTGGGGGAAGAGAAGACCAGAGAGGGCCAGGAATTTGCTAACCAGGCTGATGATTTGTTAAGAAGTTATGGAAATACAGAAAAAGCCTCAGTGCATCTGGAAAGAGGCACTTTTGAGTAGTGACAGTCTTTTTTTTCTTTAAAATAAAGCTTTTATTTTTCATCCACGGTCTGCTACCTGTCATAGTGGTTTTTTTTTTTTTTTGCAGTTTTTGACAGGGGCCAGGTTTGATCCCACCTCCTCCAGTTTATGGGGCCAGCACCCTACTCCTTGAGCCACAGGCACAGCCTGAGCAGTGACAGCGTTACAGAATAACAAGAATAGGTCAAAAGGGCATAGGAGTCAGCCTGTAAGAATTTTCCTGGCTGAAGCTGGAACAAGGAGCATTAGAATAAATACTATTTCAAGGGAGGCACCTGAGGCCTAGTGGTTAGGGCTGTGGCCACATGCTCTGTGGCTGGTGGGATAGAACCTGGCCTGGGCCTGCTAAACCAAAAGAAATAGCTGGGCATTGTGGCGGGCACCTGTAGTCCCAGCTACTAGGGAGGCTGAGGCAAGAGAATTACTTGAGTCCAGGAGTTTGAGGTTGCTGTGAGCTATGATGCCACAGCACTCTACCCAGGGTGACAGAGACTCTGTACTACTTCAAGGATTCATGAGTTCACACTGAGACAAATAAAATAAGGGAAATGGAATGATTCATCTTACAAGTAGGAAGCCAGCTGACATAGGAGAAATGATGGAGGTAGAAACGTCACCACTTGACAGCCATCATGATATATATATATTTTCTTTTTAGAGACAGAGTCTCACTTTATTGCCCTTGGTAGAGTGCCGTAGTGTCATAGCTCACAGAAACCTCCAAATCCTGTGCTTAGGCTATTCTCTTGCCTCAGCCTCCCGAGTAGCTGGGACTACCGGCACCTGCCACAATGCCTGACTATTTTTTGTTGCATTTTGGCTGGGGCCGGGTTTGAACCTGCCACCCTTGGTATATGGGGCTGGGCCCCTACTCACTGAGCCCCAGGTGCCACCCAGCCATCATGATAATATTATAACCGATCTGAGTAAGAATCATCAGTGATTCTGAGCCTAGTGAGTGAACAGTGTATTTAGTCTCAAGCATCTTCCCATCATAGTACCCTTACAGTGGAGAAATCTGGCACACAGCACCACAACTTAGCGATCAAAGGCAATATCGCTATAATGAGGCTAATAAATCACACGTGGTTCCTGACAGGGTGCCCTGAGAACTCAGCACCAGTTCCGCGACTGTCCTGCCAAGAGAGCAAACTCTAATTGAAACATGCAGAATATTCTGCAAAGCAAGTGGCCTGAACTCTTTTAAAACAATATAACCTGATGAAAAAACAAAGAAAGACTGAGGAACTATCCAGGCTCAAAGAGACTTCAGAGGCATGACAACCGAACGTGGCACATTCTTCTTGCCAAAAGGTCATAGATTAGGTCATAGTACACATATTCAATCTGATTTCCTGATTTTCATGATTGTAGCAGGGTTATGTAAGAGAATGCCCCTTGTTTTTAAGAAATTCATAGTGAGTTATTTAGAGGTAAAGGAGTCTAACTTACTAAACTAGGATAACTTAGCAAAATGATTAAAAAAAATTGTGTGAGTGCATGTGTAAAGAGAGGACAAGAAGGCAAAGGTGTACATGTTACCATCCGGGGATTCTAGGCAGAGGACATGTGAGGACTCTTTGCAGTTTTCTTCCAACTCCTCTGACAAAGTCTGAAATAATGTCAAAATAAAAAATTGAGGCTGGGTACAGTAGCCCATGCCTGTAATCTAAGCACTCTCGGAGGCTGAGGTGCTTGAGCTCAGGAGTTTGGGACCAACCTGACCCAGAGCGAAACCCCAGGTGTTGTGGTGGGTGCCTTTAGTCCTAGCTATTCTGGAGGCTGGAAAAAAAAGAAAAAGGTTGAAAAGAAAAAAAAAGTGTGAAAGTTAGAAAAAAGAAAGAAAGAAAGCACTAATCTAATGTCAATTCTTTGGGTTTTTTTTTTTTTTTGAGACAGAGTTTCATTTTGTCACCCTGGGTAGAGTGCTGTGGTGTCACAGCTCATAGCAACCTCAAACTCTTGGGCTTAAGCAATCTTTTGCCTCACCCTCCCAAATAGCTGGGACTATAGGCACCCACACAATGCCTAGCTGTTTTTAGAGAGGTCTCACTCTGGCTCAGGCTGGTCTCAAACTCATAAGCTCAGGCAATCCACCTGCCTTGGCCTCCCAGAGTGCTAGGATTACAGACATAAGCCACCACACCCAGTCTTAATGTCAGTTCTTATTATACTTCTTACAACCTGGGCTAGAACCCAAGATCTCCAGGGATCACTGATGTTAAGATCTTCCCTGTAATTCAGATCATGGAGAAAGGTCTTGGAAGGGAGTTCACCAAAAGTCCTCTGGCCTTTCTGAATTTAGCTATCATCCATACTTCCTATGTCCTGAAGAACTTTGCTCAATACACGGCCCAACACACTAGAAACTCAGGGGGCAAATAAGGGATATGATTCCTGTTCCGCGTTGCTGTTCTATCTTAGGGAAGGACTCACTCTCCAGAGCTCTGGTGCTGGCCTGTGTTTGCCTCCTTATCACACACACTCTTTCCAGGCAATACCTAACCTGGTGAGCTTCTAGCTCCACAGAGCACTTCATATCCATTACTTACAATAAAGAATTAACTGCTGAGTGGCAGGTGGGAATGAAAGAGAGATGAGTATGAGATTTTATGAATTATTCCCATAGATGGTCTTTCCCCTTTCCATGATCAAATCTCGCCCTACCCACTGGTCCAAACTACAAGCAAATGCATGAGCTGGGAGAGTAGGGAGAGACTGCAGTTCCCCTCTCCCAACCTAGAAACAGCAAAACCTCCCTGTGCAGTTCTAAGGGTCAAAGACGTTCTGCTTCAAGGGTTCTATCTAATTAGCTTTGAAAGCAACTGCTGGGAACTGGTTTGAGTTTATAGAAGTTGGGAATATTCAGGAGAGGTATAAGAAAATGGAGCACATACATTTCGGCTCCGTCTTAGAAAACCACCGGGCCAATGTTTAGAAAACACAGCCTGAGATTCACATAAGTTGCCAGCGGAGAAGTCAGCAAATCTTTAGTGAGGCACTACTGTCTCTTGAGGTCCAGGCTCAAGAGAAATGAATGACAGTATCAGGGCTTGGCCTCTGTAACACAGTAGTTACAATGCCAGTCACATACACCCAGGCTGATGGATTCAAACCCAGCCCAGGCCAGCTAAACAACAATGACAACTACAAGAACAACAACAAAAAAACTAGCCGGGTGTTGTGGCAGGTGCCTGTAGTCCTAGGTACTTGAGAGGCTGAGGCAAGACAATCTCTTAAGCCCAAGAGTTGGAGGTTGCTATGAGCTGTGATGCCACAGCACTCTACCGAGGGTGACATAATGAGACTCTATCTCAAAAAGAAAAAGAAAAAAGTTAAGTATCAGGTGAGCCCCTTTATAGAAGAAATGAGAGCCTGCCTATCTAACCTCACAGACAGTACTGAATCCCTTGTCTAATCTATTTTCATGGCACAATCATTTCCTCCTTTCTGGACAGGCTTAGAAAACTCACTGGAGGCCAGGTGTGGTGGGTCCCGCCTATAATCCTAATAGTCTGGGAAGCCTAAGCAGGTGGGCGGATTGCTTGAGCTCAGGAGTTCGAAACCAGCCTGGGCAAGAATCAAACCCCATCTCTACTGAAAATAGAAAAACTAGCGGGGTGCCTACTACTCAGGAGGCTAAGGCAAGAGGATCACTTGATCCCTGGAGTTTGAAGTTGCTATGAGCTGTGACACTGGGGCACTCTACCCAAGGTGACAGAGTGAGGCTCTGTTCTCAAAACAACAACAACAAAAAAACCCAAACCAAAAACCAGCCAAACAAAAACACTCACTGGGACCAGCTTTTCTGATGTGTTGGCTTTTCTCCTCAAGAGGCTGAGCTTCGGTTATTTTTGAGAACTTGAAAAGCTATTATTATCACCATCAAATAGTCCATTTCCTGCAGTCTCACTTGTCCGTGTGCTAGGGTGTATGTGTTGGCATCTAGAGCTGGGATTGGTGGTATATTTGTATGTAGACATGTGCCCCCAGCCCCCCAAAAGGACTCCCTGGTCAAAATAGGTTTGAGAGCAGCAGAGATTAATCTCCTGGTGGGCACATTCATGGCGGTGAGAAGGAACTATTTCACTTTGTTTAACCCAATATTTCCCTGAATTATTTAACCACAGAACTTTTATTTTCATAACAAACTTATTTTTATCTATTTATTTTTGGAAGCAGAGTCTTACTACGTCACCCTCAGTAGAGTGCTGTGGCATCACAGCTCACAGCAACGTCAAACTCTTGGGTTTAAGCGATTCTCTCACCTCAGCCTCCCAAGTAGCTGGGACTACAGCACCTGCCACAACACCAGGCCATTTTTTGGTCATAGTCGTCATTGTTGTTTGGCAGGCCAGGGCTGGGTTCAAACCCACCAGTTCCCGAGTAGGCGGCTGGAGCCCTAGAGGCTGAACTAGAGGTACTGAGCCTTCCTAACAAACTTATTAACAACCAACAGAACTCATGTTTTGGGGAAAACTTAGGGAAAAATGACTAACGAAGTAACAGTCCTAATCATATGGGAGTTTTTAGCTCCAAATGAACACTGTTATATGGT